GTGTTGCAGGTGGATTACTCCATCATCGCGGCGCAGGCCGGGGCCACGCTGGGCAGCCTCATGAGCCACGCCCAGGACCTCGTGGCCAAGCTACGCTCCCTGCAGTTCGACCAGCGGGAGTTCGTGTGTCTGAAGTTCCTGGTGCTCTTCAGTTTAGGTAAGGACTCTCCTCCTCCTGGGCACGGTGCCCGGCCCCGTGGGTCCTCCCGTCCACGCGTGGTTTCCGTTCACCGAGACCACGCCCTTCCCCCCACGTGAACGTGTCTGTGTGTCCGCATGGTTCTGGGACAGGCTGGGTGCGGAAGAGGCGGTGTGAGTCTGAAATCCTGAGTTTTCTTCCTTCGTGTCCATGTGGACGAGGCGGTAGCATCACATGATGTTCAGTGGAGACCATTTAGGCTGGACGGAGGGTGTCAGAGTTTAGCCGTCTCTCTGCCGTGGGTCGTTTCTGCGAGTCTTTTCTTTCCGCTCGCTACCTGGGCTGTGTTTCTTCTTGCGAAACATGAATCATAATAATTAAGAGCCTGTTTCTTTTTTAAAATATATATTTCTATTGATGTCATAGAGGAAGGGAGAGGGGGAGAGAGAGAGAAACATCCACGATGAGAGAGAATCATGGATCTGCTGCCTCCTGCACGCCCCCTACTGGGGATCGAGCCCACAACCCGGGCCTGTGCCCTTGACCGGGAATTGAACCCTGACCTCCTGGTCCCTGGGTGGATGCTCACCTGCTGAGCCACACCCACCTGGCAAGGTGTGTCTTAAGTCTCCCTGGGAGTTCCCCAGGAGGTGCCGGTACCCAGGCACCGCTCCGCGAGGGGAGAAGATGCTGTCTGTCCAGGGGGAAAGGGGCTGCGTCCGGGGACCTTTGCAGAAGAAAGATAACTAACAAGACAGATTAGCGAAACCAAGGTTCCCCGAGAGCCGCCGAGAGCAGTCCGCACAGTTTGCAATAAAAAGGGGATTAAGGAGATGGATTTTTATCGACTTCAAAGCAGCGGATTGTCCTGCCCTTGGTTTCTGCAGTGGGTTGGCCTCATAAAACAAACTTAAATAAACTTCTCGCCGAGTCCACTTATTTCGTATTGGCAGGCGGCGGCCGAGCGAGGCCACGTCCCTCCGATGAGAAGGAAAAAGAAAAAAAAGTGCAGGAATCAGATCGACCAACATGTGTTTTGCCTTTAGTCTCCCGCTCTCCGCAGGCCGCGCGCTCGCATCCTAAGAAATGAAATAACACAGCGCAGCGCGCGAGCCAGATGTGCCGGGCCCTGGGTCTGCAAATGCCTCCCGACGTCCCCGCACAACTGTTGCTCATCAGGCGGGCGTCTGAAGCAATGGAGCCAGGAGTCGTTCGCGTGGAGTCGGCGCTTCCCGGGGAGGGAACGCCTGTGTGGTGTTGTTTTTTCCCTCGTGCGGAAAAAGGGGATCAATATCGCAGGAAGGAACGGGGCCGAAAATGCAGGGCGACGATGGGACTCCAGGGAGGCCGCGCTCCCAGGCTGGGTGGAGCCGAGCCCGATCCCCGGTGCTTTCGGGACTAACCGCCATCTGTAGGAACGTCTCAGCCACATGAGCCCCCATCTCTCGCCCCGGAATAGCCTTGGGGAGGTGAGGGGACCCCGGCGAGTGTAGGCCTGCTTGCTGGCACCTCCCAGGGTCACCTGGGGACGCGCGTCTCGTGATGAAACGCAACATGTGGGGGCGGGCGGGTGAAGGGCTTTCCGGCATCTGGGTGGTGAGAAGGACGCATTGACTCACGCGTGACGTTGGAAGAAGTAGAGATGGCCCTGGCTGGTGTGGCTCAGTGGGTAGAGCATCCGCCTGCAGACCGAAGGGTCCCGGGTTTGATTCCGGTCAAGGGCATGTGCCTGGGTTGTAGGCTCACACATGCTCACACACACACACTCACATGCACACACACGCACACATCACATGTGCACACGCCAGAGCACATGCACACGCACATCACATGTACATATACGTCACACACGCACATGCATATGCACATCACATGCACACACACGCACTTGCACACACACACACACCACTGGCCCTTGAAGTCGTCTGGGGCAGATGTCCACCCGCCCCTTTCCCCAGGCGTGTTGGTTCCTAGCTCCCCATGAAATCACATAAGCAACAGGGGCCCCCCCACCCCCCACCCCGTTCTTCTTACAATTCCCACCCCCCTCTGTCGTCGCCGCCGCACGCGTGACATTCTAATTCAGGGAAGCCCCT